CCTTCACTCTCTCCTCCTGCCATTGAGAAGGCAAGAAAAATTTGATACCTGTTATACATATGAAGTCATGCAAAACATATTTCTATATTACGTAGGGTTTTAAGGTTTGCAAAACATTTAATACTCATCTCATTTGATCTTTATGAGAAACCTGTGAAGAGGGAGGTACACGTGTAATTGTCTCCATTTTGTAGATTAGAAAAGTAGGGTTTAAAGAGATTAGTTGACATGCCCAACTTCACATGGGTGAGGAAAGGGTTTGAATCCAGGTTATTTTTGTAGCAAGTGAAGTATTCTTCCATTATACCATTATGCTTCCATGGTACTGTGAAGGTAAGAGATCAAAATAATCATTTAAGTGAAGGAAATTGTATTTGAATCTTTTTTGGCTGCTGAAGATTTGTTTGAACCGTGATTTTAAATCATTGGTTCCTGCCTATTTAAGTCAACACAACAGTCATACTCATAGGCACCTCTTTTGCTGACTCACTTTAAAAGAGCAGCTTGAATTTCCTTGCCTTTGATTGAAATAAAAAGGCTCTAGAAATTCTTTGGTTGTGAGAAAAAAAGGAGTCTTCCAGAGTAAAGTCAGATTCTGCCACCCAGTGCAGCCACATGTGGCTCCTGGAAATTATAAGTTATTGGGAGGCCCTTGTGTTTATCTGACTTGACCTAGAGCTAAATTTGCTGTGAATGAATAATTTCAGTATCTTTAGCTGCCTCATATAGTAACAGTATGTTTATCAGAAGAAGGCTGGTTGAGAATTTTGCCCCCTTAGAACAGACAAACCAGCTTACATGTTAATTTACCTCTGTGCCAATGGCTAAGAAAAATAGTAACTTAGTGTAGTGTTATTAAATTTGTAAGTGCTTATTGGTGTCAGACTCCTGGACCAGAGGCAGTCTATATAGAAGTCTTAGCCTCTTGAATGGATTGGGGGATTCCTACTAACTACTATTTTTCACCAAGGCCCCTGCCCACTTTTCTGCAATCTTGAAAGTCACTGATTTTTGTACTGCCTTTTGCAGCAATTAATAACAGTTTCTGATACCTCTGTATTACCTGAAACACTCATTTCTTTCCATGTTCCATCTCACATTAATAATTGCCATGTTTGTCCAATTATAAGCCATACTTTCTCTTTAAGTCTTGCTTATGCAAAAACTAAGTGCAGATCACTCTTAGTAAGAGAATGGCAACAAAAATGACAGAACTATGATGATACAAATTATTTTGACTCAAGAGATGTAAAGAAAAGCAGTAAATATGTATTTAAACAGTAATTTATATATTTTAAAGTGTATATTTGCATATATTTGTCTATATGTGTGTGTTTGCATATACATAAATGGAAAAAGGAAATAAATACACACAAAAAATAAGATATATACATGTATAATGTATATATGTATGTGTATACATGTATATATGCACATATATGCCATATAACAGCACATGTATCTTCTCCCTGTGTGTGTATATATACACACACACACATATACATATGTATACATTCCTATCAGTACATACATGTGTGTGTATAACTTTTCTTTTTAAAAAAAAATTACATTTTTAGCTGGTGGCCTAATTTTGAGCTGGTATGATATAGAGTACTATAAAGTACTACCTAAATATATATAGCCATATCTCATATGTATTTATTTGTTTAAATATTTATCACAATTCTAGATATACTCTACCATTCTTCCCCCACCCTCCCAACTCAAATGAATCTTTCCCTTGTAACAATGGAAAAAAATAGGTTAAGCAAAATCATTAGAGACATTGACCATGTCTGATAATACATGTAACATTACATAGCCAGAACCTTCCCTACCCCACCTCTCAAGAAAAGGTGGTAGGTGTTATTTATGATCTCCCTGGGGCTAGGATTGGTTGTTATAATTACATGGCATTCTGTTTCATTATGTTATTCTTTTAATTTATGTTATAATCATTGTGTATTTTAGTCCTCTGTATACAACACTCTATCAATTCATAAATGTCCTTCCATGTTTTTCTGAATTCCTCATATTCATCATTTTTTACAGTGCATGTAATATTGCATTACATTCATATGTCACTGTTTGTTTAGTCATTCCTCAGTAATGGCCAACCACTCTATTTCCAATTCATTGCTACTACAAAAAGTGCTGCCAGGACTATTTTAGTAAATGTGATATCTTTCTTTTTGTCTTTGACCTCTTTGAGGTATGTGCTGCAGAGTGGATATCTTGGTCAAGGGGTACATTGAATCACTTTTTTCACATAATTCTAATTTGGTTCTAGATTGGTTCACATGATTCCAGAATGGTTGGACCAATATGTAGCTCCATCAATATTGTGGTAGTGTTACCAAAGAGTTTAAGTGTAGTCTTTAGTAGGAATGTATGTGTTGAGAAGGGAATTGTTCTTTAATAATGTAAACGAGTAAACTCTCATGCTTTCTCTGTTTCCACTTCTCACTCACTGTACCGTTCTAAGGAATTTCCCCTATTGTTCTAACATGTTAAACTGCGGCAGAGCCCCTGTAAAGAACACCTTTTTGCTGAGAGGTGTAAAACTAGCCATTTTTATAACATCCTCTATGATGCAGGATATGTTTAAAAAAAACCACAACAAAATATCAAACCCTTAAAATTAAAAACTACTGTAGTGAGGGTAGTTCTTTTTGAAGTTGGTTCTAAACTTTGAGTCTTTTGAAACCTTCAGCAGCTAAACACTTAACCAACCACCAAAGTATAACCTCACCACTGTGAGTGCCAAGACTTACCTTTAAAAAAAAGTTAAATTGAAATAAAAGTTGAAATGCAAAGTATGTGGCAAGAAAATTACAAAAAGTTTAGCTGTTGAAAGAATTATATCAAATAGCTAATATCTGTATGCCCTGGGAAAGCACTGCTGTACTAGATTACCTTTGTGTTCGATGTAATATTTACTCTTTGCATTTAATGAAACATTGAGGCCTATGCCTCTTCTCCCACGAAGGATGAATTTTGCTATAGTGTGAACAGGGAAAAGCTAAATTAAGTGAAAAGATTGAGTGTACACTTGAAAGTCTGCTGTATGAAAAAGTAAACTGATTCTACTGCTTAAAGTTACATTAATTCTTTTAGTATGTTAATTAGTGTGATCATTTCAAAGAGAGAAAAAGAATTTGGTCAGAAATATCATGATATAATTTGCATTCCAGTTTTCTGTGTGACCATAAACTGAGTCGGATATTGCCACATATGTAACATACACCACATGTCAGCTGTTTCCTGCCTCACTGCTGACAAGAGCCCCATTCATAACTCCTCTTTTTATCCTTTCAGTGAATAGGTAATTATTCAATATAGAAGGCAGGATATTTGGAACTGGCTATTTAATGTGGCAGCACACCGTAATGAAATCTGCTGTTACTGGCAACCTGATAGGAGAGTGTAACAATTCCAGCATGGCTGTAACTTTATCTGCTTTGACGGGGCTGTTTATTTGGCACATCCGTGAACCTTTTATCCCTGTGAGTGACAGATCCAGAAGGGTCACATTTACATCCATTCTATCATGTATTGTCATATTTAATGGCGGACAAGGTTGAGTGGGATTGGGGGTAATTTGAACTTGCTTTTCCACAGAGTAGAGGCTAAAAGACAGCTTGATCTCCCATATTGTGGTGTAACACATGCCATGACTTAGCATTTGTTTATGAAGGATAATCTTACTGATTACAATTAAAAAAATCTTTGAGCTGTCAAATATAGCATATTGCTCTCTGTCCTATTAAACTAAAACCTTACAGTATAAACTCTCTTAGGCTTATATGCTGTTTAGCTTTTTCACTCCAGTGAAAAATTCTACAAACAATCAGGCTTTTCACAGACTTTATACCATTTCACTTTATTTCTCTCACATGAAGCTTTAGTCTGCTACTTTTGTCACAGTGACTGAGGGAGGAAAGGGAGCTATTCTTAAGGACCAAGAAGTGGGAAAAGCCAGTTGGGTTCTATTATACAGTGTTGGAATTTTCTTTTTTCGGGTTTCAATTCCTTATAACTATGAACCATGACATACTTGGTAAGAAGTAGGATGATTACTAGGCTGTATAACTGATGTTGCATTTTGGTGCGTTTATGAAGAAATAGGCTATGAATAGACTATTTCAGTGGAATAGAAGTTTCATCTGAAATAGATTAAAAAAACTTTCAGAACAATAATTTGGTATGCTTAGGAATTTTTAAAACTATTCTGAATGATAATGATAATGGCAAAGAACTTACATGAAGGGTAATTGAATTTCAGCTATATTAGCATCAAATAAACAATCTTTATTCCTTGTCAAATGTTAATATTATTTCATTAATCTTTCTACTTTTGCTAGAAATGGATCTTACAATATTTTCTAAGTTTGTCTTCTTTTTTTCCCAAAGGCTAAAATTGTCCAATATGAGATTTCTGTGGCAACTTGACATTAAGCTGTTCTTTTGTAAATTGCATAAAGAAAGCTTTGTTTTTGTTTTATTGGAAAATTATAGAATATTTGTCCTGCCTGCTGCTTGGTTGGAATCTCTTCTGTTGGGCCATGGTATAAATGTAAAATAACAAAATGATAGTAAAAGAAGATTCACATGAATTAAGTAGATGCTCTTAGAATTAATACTTTTTTTCTTAATGCATTTCTCATAGGAAAGATATGAATGAATACTTGGTTGTTAAAATTAAAATTTAATTTTATGCAGATTTGTATTATATTTTTAGAGTCCAGTATAATTATAAGTTCTTTTTAGATTGGTGAAGGACCAATCATAAATATAGTTTGTTTTATTTTCAATACATACTTACCATATATATATTATTTTTTTACCTTTCATTCATTTTAGAAGTAATTTTAGATCTTTTTAAAAACTTATTTTTACTTGACAGCTGTGATTCATTTTTTGATCATTTTGTAGTAGATTTTATGAGTACATTGTAGGGGGTAATATCATAAACAAAATTTTTTTTGTTGTTGTTACAGCTTCCTGGTCCTTGTACTCGGTGTTCCTGTTCCATTAAAAGTGAAAAAAGTCAAGATGACGATAATATAACAAAGAAAGAACATGGGGGAAAATGCAAGACACCTAAAATATTTTTTGGGACTCGTACACATAAACAGATAGCTCAGATTACTAGAGAACTGCGAAGGACAGCATACTCTGGGGTCCGAATGACTATTCTTTCTAGCAGGGATCATACTTGTGTTCATCCTGAAGTAATCGGTAATTTCAACAGGAATGAAAAATGTATGGAGTTGATGGATGGAAAAAATGTGAGTAAAACAGTTTTGTTTTGGGAAAGAATTAGACGTGAAATTTTCAAGATGTGTACGTTTATATTTAGAATGATAATTCAGTCTTTAACTTATTAAATCCTTGTGACCAAAGTGAGTGTCTGCTAGGACTAATTCTTTTTGAAAAAAGGTTTATTTCAGTAAATCTTGATTATCAACACAGTAGGTTAAAATTGGAAGACTTAGGACCAAAGCTTATATTATAGTTTAATTCCTAAGTTACATGTTCACTTGCAAAAATTCTGATTCTTCTTTCTTTCTGCTCCCAAGTAAATGTCTTCAGTTCTTAGGTTAGTAGAAGGTGCAAAATCTAACACTTTCAAATGGTATTGTTCTGAGTACATGCAATTAGTTTATCTTGAGAATGAAAAAAAATTAGATTTTATCTTTAATTCTACCAAACATAAAAATCATCATTTTAGTTGAAAGGGAAATGTCACTATTAGATTTTGTCTTTAAATTGTGTTTATTGCAGGCTTTTGTCTCTGAAAACTTTTTATGGTACAAAAGGATGAAATAATTTTTTTAAAAATTATGAGAGGTATTGAGATTTCCTTGAGAAATTTAGAAAAACCTGTATTCAGCTTGGGTGGATTATAAAAGAAAACCTAACTAGTTTATATGAGATTTTGTAAGTTGGTTGCTAAATTCATTTGGGAATCTATGCTCTAGTACAGTTACTAGTTAGCTATAATGCTTACTATTTCACATCTGGAATTATATCCAGCAATCAGCAGAGAGGTACCTTGGACGAAAGAGCATTAGTAACATATGCAGAATGTCTAATATCTTATGGAAGTAATGTTATCTTTCATCTAACCTTTTAATAAAATCAAGGTAATGTTGGTAATACCCAGAAGCCTTTGAGTGAAGGTCTCTAAAGTTTAATTTCGTCTATTACATTTTTTTGCTGTATAACTTGAGTACCCTACTTTTCTTTCTCAATATTTTTATTTGTTAGATAGGGATGAATGAGTGAATCTACCTAATCCTCAAAATAATCTTCAGTGATTTAAAAAAATTTTGAGAATATAAAATAAAGTCCTAAATAGTTACTTATTCAGAAACATAAAACAAATGAATAAAAGAAACATGAATGAGAGTCTAAGGCTCTTTTCTTCAATCCGTTGTGGAAACCAGTTGGCTATTAATTTGTCGTAAGTTCTTTCTTAACATTTAAGGAATTCTGAAATTCCCTACTCACAGTTTCTTTTGAGTAAATTCCTCTCCATTTTTGAAAGAAAGACATTCTGTGTGTCTGTATACATATGTATTTTATACAGAGAAAGAGAAATGACCAAGTAGAGACAGAACTCGCCTACTCATTCAGACCCAGAAATTCTGTTTTAGATAGCCTTCTACCAATTCTGGATATGTAGTTGATCTGTAGACTTCCCTAAATGTTTAAAATTTAGTTTTTACTACAAAAGCTGAATAAAAGCATCAAATTATCAATATTGCTTTGCTTTTACTTGTGGAAATGTTATGTTATTAATTTTGGCTTCAATATTGTCCCATCAATTAAATTAAACTTTAAAAATTTGGGAGTATATGACATTGTTTAAGACTTTAATCACCTTTCCCTCAAAACTTAGAAGTCAGCAGACTTAGTCATGGATGGTTGACTTGGTTCTTATTGGTGAAGAATATTCATTAATTGGTAATGAATAATGGAAATTACCTGTAAAATAAGTAATTAAAGGCAGTATTCAGAATTTTGCTGCTCTTTCACAGCCCATAATTTGAACTGGTGATAGTTGTTCTTAAATAACAAAAATATAAGTAGCTGAAGACATTTTGTCATTATTATGGACATTAGTAAATATGTCAGTGTTATTTTGTCAGGTACTAGCATGTAATTTAAATTCATTTCAAGCATTTACCAATTTCCAAGGTATTTTTGTCTAGTAGTTAATTGACTCTCACAGTGCCTGCCTACCTAACCTGATGGGTGTGAATACAGTGAACAGTTTGCTTTTTTTGCTCCTGGGCCCTCAGGGTAATTTGGTATTGTAATAAGGGCCAATTACACTGTCACCATAGGTGTCTGTGTTTACTGAACTTGTTTCACCAAAGTGGGAAGATAAATAGATATCTGACAGTTTGAGTAAAAAGAGCTTAAAGTGTGATAACACTTCAGCCACAGCCTTCCCTCAGGGTTGTGTTACACTTAAAATGGATGAGCTTTTCTGCTTTTGCTATCAGTCTTCATGTGGGTGTTGGTCTAAATGCCCTTAAAGTGTAAACTTTCTGATTTTTGGCTTGATCAGAGAGGACATGTGTTTTTGTTCACTGTTTCCTTTGCTAACGTGCTCTTCAGGAAAAAGAAGTCAATTGGCTATATGAAATTAGTCTTTGTTTAGTTTAAGAAAACAAATTTAATTAGATCCAGATATATAAACACTAAAAAATTAAATATGTAGAAGTGGTTGCCCTTTGCCAATCAAGATGAGACTTCCCATAGTGCTACTTTGAGGGGTGAGAATCCTCAAGGTATAGAGGCTTAGAGCTGGAAGGGACCTTAGAACCTAACATGTATTACATAGTCACCTGGTATATGGAACTTTCCAGGTACACTTCTAGTCCATGGATTAGTTTTCAAGAGCAGTGGAGAGGAGGCTGTGAAGATGGTTAAAAGGTAGATTAGATGAATGTCACTTTGTTAAGTGTACTTTGGATAGCAAGTCTTTCTTGTCTGACTTTTTTTTTTTTTATTAATCACACAGTAACCATATAGAATGTCAGTGCTAGGGGAAGGGGCCTTGGAAATCGTCCAGTCCAATCTCCTCATTTTACAGTGGGAAACAGGCTTAGAGAAGGAAAATGACCTGCCCAAAGTTGCCAGCTATATAGTGGCAGAACTAGTACCAGACCTCAGGTATCCTAAGTCCCAGTTAAATGCTTTTAATTTGAGGACTAGGTGGTACAATGGTGCAAAGAGGCACCATTGTAAGGAATGTCTATCTTGATGAGATTATAGATCCATGAAGTATGAATTAATCAACGAACCTTACCCACATCATTGAGGCAGCTAAGTGGTGCAGAGGATAGGGCATCAGATCTAGAGTCAGGAAGACCTGAGTTCAAATCTGACCTGACACACTTACTAGCTGTGTGACCCTGAACAAGTTACGTAACCTCTGTTTGCCTCAGTTTCCTCAAATGTAAATTGGGGATACTAATAACACCTACTTCCCAGAGTTCTTATGAGGATCAAGTGAGATGATTTATGTAGTACTTAGCACAGTGCCTGGCATACAGTAGGTTCGTTTTCCTCCTTTCCTTAATACTACAGCACAGAAGTGGACTACTAAATCAAGGGTACCTATGAGGCCTGTGATTGTTTTTTGCCATTTGTATATACAGGGAAGAGTGAAAGCTCATATATGCCGCTGCCATTGTAGGAGCTAGTCTAACCATTCATTCCTGCACAAGAAAGAGAAGTTTATAAAGGATGATAGAAAAGGTAATTAAAAACAAAAAACATATTTTTATAGGAGAATCTGACATAGTAGGAAAAAAAGAGCAGGAGTATAGAGGAATGAACATTTTGTAGAAAATGAGTCAAACAAAGAGGACTGCATAATTCCATGTGTTCTGGCATTTTTCTGGAATGAGTACCGAAGAGATAGCTTCCCAATCAGTGCAGCTTTGGATGGATTATTGGTCCAATTCTTTACATTTTACTCTTTTTTTGTGTGTGTAGCTCATGTACTTTTATTAGATCTTCCTTCCTCTGGTTATAAATAACTAGATATACAGATCTGACATAGTGACAATATTAGGTAAACCACGTATGTCTTCTCTGTAGAAAATATTTCAGGCCACTTTTCATTATTTTCAGCTGTAGTTCAATATCAACTACCTGCAGCAACCTCTTCTGATATGAAAGGTAATTATAATAGTACTAATAGCAAAATTTGTATAGCACCTTCTTTGTGCCATGTACTCTGCTAAGCACTTTATAAATATTATCTCATTTAATCCTTACAACAACCCTGAGGGATAGGTGCTATTATTATCCCCATTTTTTGCAGTTGAGGAAACTGAGGTAAATAGAAATTAAGTTACTTGCCTAAAGTCATATAGCTAGGAAGTAGCTGTGGCTGGATTTGAGCTCAGATCTTACAGACTCCAGGCCTGGTGCTTTATCCCCTATACCACCTACCAGCCTCAATGATGTGGGTAAAGTTAGTTGATTAATTCATACTTCATGGATCTGTCATCTTACCAAGGTAGACATTCCTGACAATGGTGCTTCTTTCATTCTTTGTTTTTTTTCATATATTTAAAATTAAAAATTTTTTTTATTCAACTAATAAGTATTTATTTTCTCTCCAGCCCCACTCCCCAAGGCGGGGGGAGAGGAGAAAGAAAAACAAAACTCTTGTGATAAATATGTATAGTCCTTGCGTATCTTCTCATTCTTAAAATCTTTGATTGTGTTTTCTTGTAGATACATCACCTAAGATCCACCCAAAGTGTTTAGGGGCCCTTTTTTATATCTCTTTTTTTAAATTAAATTAAATTTTTTTTTTTTGGCAGTTGGGGTTAAGTGACTTGCCCAGGGTCACACAGCTAGTAAGTGTCAAGTGTTTGGTCTGAGGCCGGATTTGAACTCAGGTCATCCTGACTCCAAGGCCGGTTCTCTATCCACTGTGCCACCTAGCTGCCCCACCTATTTTATATCTCTTGAGGTGGGCATATGACTCATCCATCCTTTATCTCTCTATCTTGCTATATAATTGGTCCATTCCTTTTTTTAATCTTATGTTTCTCAAATGACATGCTTTATTTCATATCTCCTGTGCTATTCTTTGTTGTGCTATGTGGCAGCCTATTCGTATATTGTTACATGTTCTCTTTTTCTTCAGGGATACCCACAATAGATGTGTTAGCTTATTTTCATCCCACGTTATCATCTGCTGTACCACTGCTACCCTATTTCTTCCCACCTGGACTAACTTCCTTTATATCATGGACCCTCTAGAATCCATGCCTCAGTCCCTGGGAAAGTTAATTCACTTAATTTTGGAGCCAGTTGTTATGATTATGGATTGAATGAGTGCAGACTTACTTAGCCCTTTGTATTTAGCCAGCCCTTTGACCATACTTTTGCTTCCAATCGCATTCAGCAGTCTACTCACATGAGCACATTGCCACCTCACGTATAGACCTATCTTCTTGCTGTGGGCACAGTGACTAAATTCAAATTAGTAGTACTGTTGCTTCTGGGAAGGGCAAAGTATGTCATTTGACTGCCTTGAGGTTCTTCTAATCATCTCTGGGACTCCCCTGACCAAAGTGCCCCTTGACTATCACCTGTCCATATTTGTGGTCTCCTATTAAATGTAAGTTCCTGGAGAACGTGGACTTTCTAGTTGTTGGGTTTTTTTTTTTTTAATTTGTATCCGCAGTGTTTAGCACAGTGCACATAGCGAGCCCTTAATATGTGCTCTTCCATGTATTCATAAAGATTTTGTAGAAATGGAAATGTAGTCTTATGGGTTGGTAGTTACTGTTGTTTTCTCGATTTCTTTTTTCTTTTTTTTTAAGAAGTAGCATTACTATCTGTACTTTTTACCAAGCCTCCTGTTTCAGGAGGCCGTACACACTCCCAAATTGCTTTGCCTCCACCATAGATCTCCTCAGTGTATATCTGGTATTTTCTAACTCTTTTTCACATCTTTATTTTCTTTAATGTCCTTTCTGTGTCCTAGTGTGGTAGTTCTTCTGTCAGTGACAATAGGTATTTGTTATAGCAATCCTAACAAGTCTTTTTCATTTTTCATCAGTTCCTTGTCTTTTAGTGTTGTCTTTTTATTGTCTTGGTTTGATCTAGCTCCATTTATCTCACCACAAACTTTCTGTGGACTTGCTTTTCCTACTTCTTGTTCTCTTATACTTCTCATAATCTTCCACCTTTCCCTCTGTAATATTTTACAACCAAGTTTATATTCTAAACTATTGTTGCCCATGACTGCTATATCTCTGCTTGGCAAGATGAATATGTAGCGGAAGTGCTCACAGAACTATTTTGGTCTCCTTTTTGTGGTGATTGATTTATATCAGTTAAAGTTTCTTAGGAAATGTTCATAGCTTCCGTGTTTGTTCTTTTATCCATTTTTCATTTTCCAATGGCAATAACTTACTTAAATGGATCAGATACAAATTGTTTTAATTGAATGCTGTATCTTCTCATTTGCATTTTAGTTTGGCATTTATTTGGATATCTATTAAGTTGGTGGTCTGATTGTACACAGAAAGCTGATTCATAATGGGCTCCTATTGGGAACCAGTTGTTTCCTGTGTGTTAAGATGTAGCCATTTAAAATTTTTTTTTAGTAACACTCTTTGCCTAATTCTTTTTTATGAAGAAAGTTCACAATATATAAGCATGAGGTTTCTGTCCAGACTGCAAACTTTTGGCTTCTTTCATTTCCTATTTCTGAGCCCTATACTGCTTCCTTCCTTCCATTGCTGTATTCAAGTATACATGACTTAATTTGAAGGCTTTTACTGAGCTCTTTGTAGAATTTTTCTATTTCTTCATCCTCGGCAATAGATGTTAGTTTGTAAGTAGCAGTTATTTTTGTGATGGTCTTCTTCTAAATGTTCTTCATGTGCACTACAATACAAGATGATCAAGTGTTCCATGAAATGATGTTTCCTATCTTATTTGGAGACATAGTAAATCCAATTCCATAAATCCTTTTATTTGCTTCTCTGAGGAGAATCTGTGAACTAGCTTTCCCTTTAGCTACAACTTCCTTTTGTCTTCTGTCTTCATTTATAGTAAGAGCATCAATAACGATTTACTAGATAAAATCCTCACATTTAGAGTACCCAGAGTTTTTACTATTTATGGATAGTATAACAACTGTTCATAGAACCTTCTGACTCTTCCCACTGTTCTGCCACTGCTATCACAAAGGGGCCACAAAGAATTGAGGGCAGTTTTGTGGTTTGGTTTTTTTTTTTTTGTTTCACAGGTTGCCTTGCCCGGAAAAATCCCTGACATAATGTCTGATTTGTTGGCAATGAGGCTCTTTGTACCTAATTAGGCTGGATCTTGGAAAACAGACACAGCCTGTTTCTGGTATTATATTTGAATACTTTCTAACCAGATAAAATCTGACAGAGCTCATGCTCCACTGACACATCTCTTAAAGACCCAGGGTCTCTTCCACACCCCAATGAGGCAATAGACTGTGACTTTATTCTACATATAGTAGATGCCATTGGGTGAGTAGCAAAGAACATAGAAGATAGGATCTTGCCTTTGAGTGGCTCATACAGATTATACCTAGACAAAGACAAATTTAGCTGATTTCGACTGATCATTATTAAGTGAAGTATGTGGGAAGAGAAGCACCATGACATACTGGTACATAGAAAGCAGTTCTTGAGGCAGGGAGACTGGATTCAAGTCTTGCCCTGACACATATTGGCTTTGTGACTATAAGAAATCAGTCTCTTAACATCTCAATGCCCTGGGCAGCTCTCTCTGATGTGAATTGGGGATAAATTTTTGATCAATTGTAGAGAGCTCCCCACAAAGATAAATAAACTAGAAGCTCCCCACAAAGATAAAATTGTAGGTCTGGGAAAATGTATTTTGATTATGGATTCATAGGTATTAGACTCTTAGCTAATTTGAGAGCTCAAAAATGAGTCACTTTAAAATTATTATTGTTAATTTAATGCTATAACTTCTATGTGACACCTTTGCTTTGTGGCCATTTGCTAATATTATATACTCCTAATGTAAGGGTTTTGATTTTTTTTTTTTAATTGCTACTACAATATTGGCTAACTTTTCAATGATATGTATTTACTTTTAGGGTAGATCCTGTTATTTCAATCATGGTGTCCATAAGATTAGTGAGCAATGTGCTCTACAGACTTTCCCAGGAATGGGCAGGGCCTGGGATATAGAAGATCTTGTAAGCCTGGGGAAAAGGTTAAAGGCATGTCCATATTATGCAGCTCGAGAACTGATGCTTGATGCTGACATTGTGTTCTGTCCCTACAACTACCTCCTGGATTCACAGATAAGGGAAAGTGTAAGTATGAATGTAACGATTGTGAAGACCATTTCTTTATTAATTGGAATTGAAGTGATCAGACAAAGTAATATCTTCATTGTTTTTTATTTTAATTTCCCTTTTTATGCCCATTGTTCTGTTTGGTTTTTAATTTAAGTAAGTATATGAGCACATTAGGAGAACCAGTAATTACTGCTTAGTAGTAATTAATTCCTGAAATTAGATAAAAACTACTTATTTAAATATAAAGATGGCATTTTAAACTTAAGTGACAAGGAATCTTATTAATCTAGTGTCTGCAGTGAGAATACAGCTAAGGTACTGTAGGTATAAAATTAAATATTTTATAAAAGCCGCTTAGTGTGCTGAATGGAAAATTCATGTACATGTTGATATACTTTGTGAACTTTTGAATAATGATGTTTTTATGCAGCACGTATGCTTATGCCATCTAGTTCTCCTCATCGAGTGACATAGCCATTGATTATAGCATGATGGAGCATGAGAAATTTGGCCTTCCTTGTTGCTGCTATCGACTTTTGATGTGTGCAAGTTGTTTTTGTTATCAGTTTTGCTGTTCTTTCAGGCTTAAAATGAAGATAGTGTATATTTATCATTTATATTACCTAGTTTTCAGCTCTTTTTATTCTCACTTCTATCTCAAAAACCTTTTGCTGTTTGCCTACTTTGTATAAAGTAGAATTTCCTTAGCTTGGCATTTTAGGTCTTTTTTAGTCTAGTTACAACGTACCTTTCCAGCCTTATCTCCCTACCTGAAGCCTCAACTTTGACAGACTAGTCCTCTGATCATGCCTTGTTCTTTCTTTTCACTTTGCCTTGCTCAAGACATTTTCTATATTGTATTCTCTTCTCTCTCCTCCTCTCTGCTTGTCTTTTTTGAGGGTGAGTTTAAGTGTCTCCTGGAAACCTTCCCAAACTCCTCTTGGCCACAGGGCTCTTTTCTTCCTCTGAACACATTTATTGTCTCTGCCCCTCATTTGACAGTTAATCATGTGTTGCCTTGTGATTGTTGTCCAGCGTTTTGTCTTGTATGGTTGTTTTACATCTCACATGTTTATTTTACTTTTCCTCTATTTGTGCCCCAATTTAATGGTAAACTTCTTAAAAGAAATAGGGTCTCTGCCCTCAAGGAGCTTAGAAGACTTTATATATTCCCTGCAGCTTTTAATAGGGTATCTTCTGCACAAGAGGTTCTCCATAAATAGTTGTCAGTTTCATATATTTGCAAGAGGTTTTGAGGCCCCTAGATGAGAGTCTGTTGTGCTGATGTAAATGCTGTGATGATGTTAGGTTGAAGAATTCAATAAAGAAAAGTTGGTTGCCTTCAATAATGCAGAAGTTATACAAGCCCCAGAAAAATCAATTTTTTACACAATTGTGCATGCTTGTGTTGGCTGAAAGCTGGGTGAAGTAAAAAGAGAGTCTTCCGACTGCTGATTAAATTGAAGAGTCAATTTCATAATGTTTTACAGGAAAATCGTTTTTTTGTTGTAGATGGATATCAATTTGAAAGAGCAGATCATCATTTTAGATGAAGCCCATAATATTGAGGACTGTGCACGTGAGTCAGCCAGTTACAGTCTTACAGAAATCCAACTTAGGTTTGCTCGAGATGAACTAGATGTCATGGTCAGCAACAATATAAGGAAGAAAAACCATGAACCCCTGCGAGCTGTGTGCTATAGCCTCATAAAGTAAGAAAATTGTTTTTACCAGCAGAAGTTGATGTTTCCTTTAAAAAAATTTACTTTATGCTTTACTTTATGTTTATGCTGCATTTTTATTTAGTTTGTGCTGAATTTTTATTTTTAAAATACATTTTTATTGATATCTCTCGTATGTCAGTGGGGTGGATGACAGTGGTGGGGGTCTGTGGCAGGGTGCAGAAGCAGGACAAATAGAAGGCCTGGAGGACCTTAGAAGGTAATCATATGGCAGATAGCAAGGCTTAGCCCTCTTTCATCATGCCCAAAGGAATGGAATTGGTGACTCCCATCTCACCATGCTCTGCAAGCAGGCACACAGCCCAGATGGATTCTGGGTGATCTTGGCTTTGGGAGAGCATGAGGCATAAAGGTATGGAAGGAAAATGCCCCCAGTGGTGGTAGGTGGGATATCAGTTGCCTGAATGGATTCTGGGATACCTGGAGCCACTAGAGACAATGAGAGGAGAACAGAACGGGAAAAAAGAGCGTGAGGGGGAGTAATGGATAGTGAGGCTAGAAAGACGGGTTGGGAACAGAGTTTAAATGGCTTTCGATGCTAAATGGAAATTTATATTTGATCCTAGAGGCAAAAGAGAGCCACTGTAGTTGATTGAGTAGGAGAGTCACATGGTCAGACATGTATTTGGAAAAAACTACATTGGTAACTTTGGAACTAGATTAGAGTGAGGAGAGACTTGAGACAGAGTGACCAAGTACTAGGCTACTACAACTTACTGGATATGTGGGAAGAAGTGAGGGTAAAACCAAGGTTGTGAGCCTGGAACTGGAAGAATGGCGGTGCCCTTGACAGAAACAGGGAACTGTGAAGAAGTGACTTTTGGGGGTAAGCTGGTCCCCAGCTGCTAACACAGTTCCTTCCCCAAAGGTTCCCTTGTATCTACTTTGTATGTGTTTTGCCTATACCTCTATATGTACATGTTATCTGCTCTGTGACAGGTAAGCCTTCTAAAGGGCAGGACATGTATCACTTTTGCCTTTTTATCTCTAGTGCCTCACACAGTACTTGGCACACAGTAGAGATACTTCATAAAGATCTGCTGATTGATTGATTGCAGCCAGCCCTGCAGTGAGCCTCTCTGTATTTAGCCATACTGGTCCTTGTCTAACATTGCCAGGGGTGTGCTCAAAGCTTTTCCATTGTGGTATAGGACCTGCCTCCAGGGCCTGCCAGTCCCTGGGCTCCATTGTTGGAGCCTTCAGCAACCTTGAGTATCTCTGTGCCACTGTGAGGCATTGGAGTCAAACTTTAGCGGAGTGGTGCTTTATTGTTAAAGCTTTCTAAGATAAATTAGTCCCCTTTCTTGCTTTGGCAAATAGTGTAATGAGCATAATTTAATTTATTTGGATGTTTTGGGATCTTGCAGTGCATCAGCATCATCATTATGAACATCTACTCATCGTGAGTTGAACACAATTGAATAGTCCTTCAGGGATTCCTAAGTCATGGATAGATTTCAGGACATCTGTGAACTTAAATGGGAAAAAAAAAATTATACTTTTCTTTTATCTTCCTTTGGCTTTCTTTTCAATCCTATGTACTTTATTTTATACATTTAAAAACACTATTCTGAGAAGTGCATAGTTTTTACCAGATTGTGAAAGGGATCTATGGCCCAAAAAAGGCTAAGAAACCCTTCTAAAGATAGAATATGAGACTGAATCTGGATACTGACCATAGTTCATCATCTGGAAGGTTTTTTTTTTAATACATTTCTGATATGTTATGATTTTCCATTTTTCTTCAAAGTGTAATGGAAAGGAAAAAAAAGTTTCCAATTAATGGAGGGTTGTGGTTTTTTGGATTTTAGTTCAGGAGATTAAAATACTGGAGCTAGTGCAATTTAGTTCAATTCAACAGATATTAAATACATTTTGTGTGACAGATACTGTACTAAATGTTAGGGAAATACTAAGTCACACTAAACATCTCAGTCCCTGCTTTATTACGTTCTAATTGGGGTGGGGATGGGGAAATGACCATAATATGTACACAAATAAGTAAATACAAAATGTATTAACAACTTCTACCAGTTGGGAAGATCAGGAAGGGCCTCCATGTAGAAGCTAGCACTCAAGCTAAGCCTTAAATGAAACTAGGAACTCTAAGAGGCAGCCTTGTAGGGTGTAGGGTGATGAATTTTTCATCCACAGACTGAATAGTACTGGTATTAACAGAATACCATTTACCAATTAAAGACCGTCTATCAAGTGGTGGAGGAATGGCAGTCTGGGTCCGTCTTAGGAAATCATGACCCTGGAAGCATTGAGGTACAACTGAAACATTGGTAATTGAGAAGAAATCATTGGATTATATTGAAAGGCCTAGAGTTTTTAAAAATAAAGTGGTAGTGAATTAGCTTTGGCTTTTGTTTGTTACTCTTTAGTATGTCTCTTTAGTATGTTGGTAAAGAAATCCTACATATTTGACAGGCAGATGCCTATAAAAATCAAGGGACTTCTCTTTTCAACATCTTTTGCTCTTGCTGAAGTTAAAAACTTGTGTGTGTACCACTTTTGCAATATTTTCCCTCTGTTCTCAGTTCTCCCAGTTGTGGTTAAAATTTTAAGCTTCTCCAGAATTATAAATTATTTTAGCAGAAGTCAACTGCTTTGACACTGGAGTTCAAAAAGCTTCCCCTGCCTCCATAAAGGTCTTAATTATTCATGTTATTGAAAGAGCTCAATATGATATTATCCGCTTAGTAGACATTGGATGAGTTAATATCAATTAGCCCAAACAGATTCTTGTACAAATAAAAGCTATTGTGTTGGTTTTTAAGACATGCCTCAAAATAGATAGATAGATAGACAGACAGGCAGATGTATGGGTATATAGTAATTTAATTTTATAAATAAATCACTCTCCCCCTGTTTTTCCCCTTGGACAATAAACATTTTCAAAAATATATTTCTTCAAACATTTTTGCTTTTTTTTTGTATGGGGAAATTTTTATTTGGCTGTTGATGTCAAATAAAATGTTTTGATTTTATGCAATACTATAACTAATGCTTGTATTGATAATATAGACCACATGTACTTTTATTTCAAAGGGTCACTTTTGGAATTCCACTTGGAATGCATTTCCTGATGCATGAAAAATTAGGAATATTTAACATTGTGTATTCTTGGATGGTTTGCTTACATTTTTTTTTTTTTTTTTTGCTTTAAAGAGCTTGTAAGATAAACGAAACTAATCAGTCATCTGGAATTAGATAATAAAGCTGTTAGTTGTGTAGTAAACTTCTTAGTAATGGTTTTTGACCATTAAAATGCCCCAAGAGCAGGAACTGTGACACCTAAAATACAGCCCATATACTTCAAAACTATTCTTTAGTATAAACTAAATGTTCTTTAGTTTAAGATTTTCCTTTAGAAGTCTTTGATAGTAGGGAGAGGAAAAAGCACACACAAGATTTCTAGTTAGTTACTTTTTATTCTAAAAGGTAACATTTCAGGTTGCTTTGCAGTGCTGCCTTGAGATTTGTATTTGGTATGTTCCAAATCCTTATTCTTTGGACAGTGGCCTGTCCTGAGCCCCCATCTCTTCTCTTTCTATACTGCTTCATTTGGTGAGCTCATCAGCTCTCATGGATTTAACTACCGTCTTTGTGCAGATGTTTCTCAAGGCTGCCTTGCCTATCTCAACCTTTCTGCCAACCTCTAATCCTGCATCTCTAATTTCCTTTCAGACATCTCATACTGGATGTCCAGTAGACATCTTAAACTCAACATATCCAAAATAGAACTTACTATCTTAGAACTTCTCACTACTACCTTCCCTGATGGAAGGTGAAACCATCCTCCTGGTCCTCAGGCTTGCAACCTAGAAGTTATCTGCTCTTCACAATATTGATTTCACTTTTGCAACATCTCTCAAGTACATCTCCTTCTCTCCTCTGACTCTGCCACCACTTAGGTGCAGGCCCTCATCACCTCACACCAGGGTTATTGCAATAGCCTGTTGTTAGGTCTGCCTGCCTCGTTTCTCTAGACTCCAATCTATCCTCCATTCAGCCACTAAAGTGATTTTCCTAAAGCACAGTTCTGACCATGTCACTCCCTTACTCAATAAAGTCCATTGGCTTCCTGTTGCCTCCAGGCTTAAATACAAAATGCTCTACATTGAAAGGCCTTTATAACTTAGTCTCTTCCTACCTTATTCCCCCACACATTCTCCAATCCAATGACACTATCCTCCTAGCCATTCCACGAGCAACACACTCCGTCTTTTGGGTGTTCCCTCTGGCTGTCCCCTATGCCTGGAATGCTCTCTCTACTTTGCTCTAATTGCTGACCTCTGTGATTTCCTTTCAAGGCGCAACTAAAATCCCACCTTCTACAGGAAGCCTTCCCTAATCCCCTCTTAATTCTAGTGTCTTCTCTACTTGGGGGGCCAGTTAATTATTTCATATTTATCCTGTTTATAGTTTGTTTGCTTTGTATTTTTTGTTTGCATGTTGTTTTCCCTGTTATACTGTAAGCTCCTTGAAGGCAGGCACTGACTTTTGCCTCTTTTTGTATCACCAGTGTTTAGCACCTTGTCCAGCACATAGTAGGTGCTTAATAAATGTTTACTGATTGATTATTTGCTGTAAACAAGAGCAAGTAATCTGCCTGCTTGATCTATCTGTGCCCCCACCAAGGAATTAAAAAAGAAACATTGCCATTTATGTGAATATCTCTCCTGAGTAGGAAAAACATTGTAGTTGGTATCTGTTTTGGCTTAAAGCTGTATGAGGTGTTCAAGAACAAGTAGAATCACATGCATGCTTCTTTTTCTAAAATAAAATCATGACATCGGTTCTGTGTGTTTATTTTGCTGTGTGTGTGGCAAAGCCGCTAAACTGGTGGTCACTAGCATACCTTCTCCAAGGTATTGTAGTTTCTGATTAAACTTTCTTGGCCAGTTACTAGAAGCATTGAATGGTGTGTGACTGTGGTGAAAATCCATTTTCTCCATAGCTTTTTGCCAAAGTAACATGTAAAAAGGCTGATATTGTCTGTTAGAGTTATTTTTTTTTCTTATTCTAGTTGGTTACAGGAAAACGCTAAACATCTTGAAGAAAGAGATTATGAATCATCCTGTAAAGTCTGGAGTGGAAATGAAATGATCTCTCACTTCTATAAAATGGGCATAACTGTTGCTACCTTTCCAATATTACAGGTAAGATATTTTCTGGTTAGTGAAAGTCATCTTGTAGATACAAAGTTAATGTTATTATTGTGTAGTGTTTTGCCCCAGTAATGTGTTCTCTGCGTAGCGTGTATTATTTATTTAATACTATACTTATGCATCACCCTTCATTGAGTCAAGATCTTTTCAGTGCGTAAGTGTTCTCTGGAAGTTGACAAAGCACTTTAACCCATTCAAGCCACTGGAGAACCATTTAGTACATATCTGTTTACTGTATTACTTTGGGACTCTACCTGATACCCCAACAGCCTGAAGAATTAATGAGCCTCCTAAAGGCCTAACTTACTCTTAGGGAGTGACTGACTCTGGGGAGTATTTAGCTGATCATATGTAACCAGACTGTGGTGCCATTGTTGGCACTTAGCCTCATCATTCAGTAAACAGTTCATAGTATTGTTTTCAGATAGCCATTGCATGTTTCCATATGGAATATGATTGGTGTTGAATTTTTTTTCTAAGATATTGTTTACGTCCCGTTTTTCTGTTGTAGGGACATTTTACTGCTGTCCTTCAAAAAGAAGAAAAAATTACGACACTTAATGGTAAAGAGCAAATCAGAGAAATACCTATTGTTAGTTCCTCGACTCAGATTATGCTCAAAGGACTGTTTATGGTACTGGACTATCTTTTTAGGCAGAAGAGCAGGTCAGTGGAGATCATTTCTGTTTTTCTCCTTAGAAACAGTAGTATGTAATAACATTCTATGAGTCTTGGGTATGTCTCATAAATGCTTTAAAATTTTTTTCCTTTTCATTTTCATGAACTTAAAAAACATCAACAAATGTGAACATTTCCTTATGTGAGGAATAGAAAAGGAGGACCCTCAATGAAACTGAATTTCTATATACAGCTTTTTTTTTTAAATCATAGTAATTATAACATTGTCCTGCTTGTTGTTGCTCCTTCTGAACACCCTTCTGCTTTCTTCTTTGTTTTTTTTAAATACTTCATTGAGTCTTCTTTCTTTTTTCCTTTTTTTAATGTAAATATCATTGCCTCCAAAACTCTTATTCACTAAAAAACTCTGCCCTCCCTTGTAACATATAAGTGTAGCCATGAAAACAAGTCCACATTTTCTGTATCTGATACAACAAAATATTGATTAAATGCCTACTATGTGCCAGCCACTGTGCTAAGTGCTGGGGTTACAAATAAGAAAAGGAAAGTCTGCCCTCAAGGAGCTTACGATCTAATAGAAGAAGACAACAACAACAGTAATCGCTAACACTTATATAGCATTCCATATGTGTCAGGCACTGTGTTAAACATTTTGCAAATATCATCTCATTTGATCCTCACAACGACCCTGGGAGATAGATGCTGTTGTTATCTTCATTTTATAGAAGGGGAAACTGAGGCAGACAGAAATTAAATGACTTTCTCATGGTCACACAGCTAGTAAGTGTCTGAGGCTAGATTTGAACTCAGGTCTTCATGATTCTAGGTGTGGCACTTTATCTATTGTGCCACCTAGCTGAAAGGGGGAAGGGATAGTGGCAGAGAATAGCCAGTCCAGGGGCTTGATGAAATTAATGGTGAAGGCTAAACCAAGCAGAGGAGCTGGTGACAAATGAAGAGATGCCTGGAATGTTGAGCCCTCTATGAAGGGAGGCTATGGAATTTGGTTTTTGCTCCGCCTTCCAGCCTTCCATTCATAGGGGCAGAAGCAACTGAGAGGACTGATGGTCTGAGTAGCAAAGCTGAAACAATTTTCACGATGGTGATGTCTAAAAACGTGTGCCTTATTCTGCACCTCTAGTCCATCATCTCTCTGCCAAAATGTTTCATCTTCATGACTTCTGGAGTTGTGATTGGTCATTGCATTGATCAGAGTTCTTAAAACTTTCACAGTTGTTTTCCTTCTCAGTGATGTAGTCATTGTATAAATCGTTTTCTTAGTTCTGGTCACTTCACTTTGTCAGTTCATAGAAGTCCTCCTAGGTTTCTCTGAATCAAGCTCTTTTAAAATTTCTTATGATGAAATAATATTCCATGACATTCTTATGCCATAATTTATTCAACCATTTACCAACTTAATGGGTATCCACCTTATTTCTAGTTCTTTGCTACACCAAAAGTTCTGCTAGAAATATTTTGGTACAAATGGACACCATTCCCTCTTTCTCTGATCTCTTTGTGTTATAAGCTTAGTGGTGTTTATTACTTGGTCAAAGCAAGTAACAGTTTAGTAATTTTTTTTTTACTAAATTGCTAAATTTAGTTCCAAATTGCTTTACAGAATGGTTGGACCACCTTACAACACCATCAATGGCACAATAATGTGCCAGTCCTTTCACAGCCCCCCAACAGTTGTCAGTTTCCTTTTTTGTCATCTTAGCCAATTTGATGCCTGATAATGTGAATAAGTAGAAGAAAGCACCATACAAAATTATGGCTTACTCAGGGTTGAGACATTCAAGAAATAAACCCAGAAGAGGAGAGTTAACTCCACAAAATCTACAAGTAGAACCTCCGAGAAAAATATTGTGTGGCTATAAAGACTAATAGAAGAAGAAGGGAAATAAGATATAAAAAATGAAATTATGAATGAAATCAGAACTCTGGGGGGAAAATTAGAAAGAGAATTAACTTGAAAAAGAAAATGAAAAGCTTTTACTGAGTAGTTTAACAGCCCTTTTCATTTTTGATGTTGGCAATTTAATTTTCTTCTCTTTTTTTATCAGTTGTTTTTCCAAAGAGTTCCTAATTTAATAATCCATTTAAGTTTTTTGTTTTTAATTTCTTTTATCTTTTCTTTGATTTTTCATAATATCTGTCATAGTGTTTAATTGGGAATATTTTTGATTTGTTGCTTTTCTAATTAAAGTTACATGATCAATTCATTGATTTTTCTTTTCTTTCTCTCTTGTTGTTGAAAGTATTTAGCGATACAAATTTTCCCCAAAGGACTGCATTGGCTTCATCCTAAAGTTTTGGTATATTGTCTCATTGTTGTTATTTTCTGTAATTAAAAGATTTATTGTTTCTATGATTTGTTTTTTTATGCACCAGTTCTTTAAGATTAAATTATTTGTTCTCTTGAAGTTTGGATTCCTGCTGCAAATGTCCTGCATTCCCCCCCCCCCCCGTTTACTCACATTTTCATTTTTAGTTTATACATTAGGATTTTGTGCTTAGGCTATTCTCCTCTGATACTCTTGGTTGGTTTGGGCAATCTTTGATCCTGTGCCCTGCTGTGGCTGTTAACCTGGATGGTGTGAAGGATGCTAGGCCCCAATTTTGCCTTAATCCCTGGCTTTTATCTCAGTCTCATGGTGGTCCACTGCAGGATCTTGCCTTATCTGACATCACTTTCTTTTTCCTTGAACGATCCCCGTTTGGGAGTTGGTTCTGTTTCTTGCTGTGCTTCTGACAGGCCACGGTGGGATGCTAGAGATCACGCTGGTCTCGGCCTCCTTCACAGTCCCCCAGCACTGGCTCCCAGGTGCTGAGTTGCCTTTCTCTTCTGGTTTATCTCCCGCTACACTGAGTAGTACACAGCTTGGCCTCGTCCACCTTTACAATCACAGAGGCTGGCTCTTTTCCTGGCTTCTGTCCTGATAGACCAAGATCGGAATATGACTTCTGACCCCCAGTTACCAGAGTTTACCCTGGCTTGGGGTGCCCCTGTTTAGAATGCAAGAGTATTATTATGCCTTAAGAAATGATGAAAGATACTTTTGGACAAAGCTGGGAAAACTTGTGTGAGTTGATACGAGAGTGAAGTGAGCAGAACCAGGAGAACAATTTATACAGTAATAACAACATTGTCAATAAAAGCAACTCTGAAACATTTAAGATCATTGATGAAGCATGCCACCCACCTCCTGACAGAATGGTAATGGACTCAAGGTGCAGAAAGAAATGTGTATTTTTGGATTGACAGATGGGTGGATTTGTTTTCCTTTGACTAGGATTATTTGTTTCGAGAATTTTTTTCTTTTTTTTTTTTCTCCATTCGGGGAGGAATTTGTTAGGGAGAGAACAAATGATAGTGTTACTGAAAAGAAAGAAAAGATCAATGAAGCATTTTTTAAAAAACAGAAGAAAACAGAAAAATAGGACAGCTTTGAAAGTAACAAGCTAAGTATACTACTAATGAAGCATTAATAATGTTAGTGTAAGTGGCTTAGTGGATAGAGTGCTGGACTTGACGTCAGGAAGAATTGAGTTCAAATGTTGCCTCAGATACTAGCAGGGCCACCTCAGGCAAGTCACTTAACCCTTCTCAATCTTAGTTTTGACATATGTAAAAGTGGTAGTAATAACACATCAGAAGGATGTTGTGAGGTTCTGAAATAATGTGTTATGTGCTTTGTAAACCATAAAGCACTATAGAAGAGCTAGCTATTGTCATGTGCTTTTTAAAAAAGAGCTGTATGTACTAGGGTCATGGTTTCACATATTCACTCTTCCCATTCTGTTTTGTGTATAGAAATGTTCCTCTCTCTTTTTTTTTTGGTGTTTGTGAAATTCAGAATTTTTAAAATTTATTTTATTTTTAATTTATGAAATAAAATGAGCATTTCTGTAACACGGTACAACAAAAAAGATGATTGCATATGAAACTGCAAATCTGTTAGGTACAACTTGCTATTCCTTTAAAATATACAACAAAATTATTATGTGAATTTCTTTTTTTTCTCTCCCTCCACCTCACCCTAGAGATGGCCACCATTAGAAACAAATACATATATATGTATGTATTTATATATAAATACATATGTACAATTATTCTATACATACTTATATTTATCAGTTCTATCATGGACCTCTTTTTTTGGCAGTCTGATGAAGCCTGGGGACCCTTAATGTTTTTAAAAGTCAAAAGAAATGCTAGATTTTAAATAATGCTTAGTGAAAATAATGATGTTTTTTATTTCTTCTCCAAGTTCAGAGACTCCCCGAAATTTATCCATGGACCTAGTTGGGGGGGTCTGTGGGCCCTAGGTAAAGAACCCTTGGATTAGATAATTTCTGAGACCTTTCCTAATTCTAAAATTCTGTGATTCTATGATATGTGGCCAGAGTTATAAACTCTTTTGTTGGTAATGTGGAAAATTATAAGATTAAGATTTTTGAATGAGATATAGTATAGTATGCTAGAAAAAGTACCGTATTTGGAGTGAATAGGTCTAGCAGCTCTCATCCCCATTAGCTTTGTGACCATGGAGAATCATTTACCCTCTTTTAGTTTTCTCTTTTGTAAAATGGGAATAATATTTATCCTACCTAATTTATAGGGCAGTTGTGAAAAAATACTTTGCAAACTTTAAACCCCTATATAAATGTGACTTATAACTGACTTTAAATGTAATTGATTCTTACAATCTGTTCAGATATGGGTGATAAATATTGTAAATGTTTTTTAAAAATGAACAATTTGATTATTGGTTGCTTTTCATTTAGGTTTGCAGATGATTACAAAGTCGCTTTACAGCAAACTTACTCTTGGACAAGCCAGATTGATATTCCAGACAAAAATGGTTTCTTTGCTTTACCTAAAAATAAGAAACGTTCTAGACAAAAAATGGCAGTAAATGTGCTAAACTTTTGGTGCTTGAATCCAGCTGTGGTAAGCTTGTTCTGACAGTGGGAAATTTTTAGCTAGTATAATTGCTCAAAGAATTAGATGATAATATTTGACCCATTTGATCACAGTTTTGTATAACTAATATTTTTTCCTCCTTTATAGGCCTTTTCAGATATTAGTAGTAACGTACGGACGATTGTTCTGTCATCTGGTACTCTGTCACCAATGAAATCTTTTTCATCTGAACTTGGTGTGACATTTTCTATCCAACTAGAGGCTAATCATGTCATTCAGAACTCACAGGTTAGTATTTTCTTTTTTAGGTTTATGAAGTTTCTAAGACTTTTAATATAAATTGAATTCCTTGTTAACCAATTTGGGTGGCAAATGGAGAAGTTATATGAGAAGAAATTTTACATTTTAATTTAGGAATAAAAAGAATGCTAGTTATCTATATCCAGATAAAGAACTGATGGACTCTGAATGCAGATCAAAGCATACTTTTTCCCCTTTTTTTTCATGGTTTTTTTCCTTTTGATCTGTTTCTTCTTTCACAACTGTGACTAATATGGAAATATGTGTTGCCTAATTGCACATACATAACCTATATCAAATTGCCTACCATTTTAGGAAGAGGAAAGGGGAGGGAGGGAGGGAGAAAAATCTGGAAAATCTTGTACAAGTCAATGCTAAAAATTGTCGACATTCAATTGGGAAAAAATAAAATACTGTTAAAAATTCTAGAGACAACAAAAGGTGATAAATTCTGTTCCCTAAAGCAAAAACATAAAACTAGACTTCTTATTTTTTAGAGATAACAAAAAGTGATAAATTCTATTCCCTAAGGCAAAAACATAAAACTAGAATTCTTATGAGGAGGACATAATGGGCTGAAATTCTTTATGTTTTAATTCTTTGTCTAAGACAGTAGCAATAGACCAGGATTTAAAAAAAAAATCTAACAACTTCTCAAATTTTTATGTCATAGTAAAGCCTTGGAATAAGACCTTTAGCATAGTTAAACTTTCTTATACTAAGAGTTCTCTTTCAATTATTTTCTACCAAACTATCATTCTTTCAGGTATTGTTTTTGTGGGAATGTTCATTCTCATAAATATTCTGTTCTCTGATTGGAACTTGGCCTCTGAGGGAAATTCCTCCATTGAGGCAGCCTTGCCCTCTAGCTGGCCAGTAGTTGTTCAACCCCTAGGGAAAAGGAAATTTGACAGCCCTGGGGACATGTTCCCCTGTATAGGGGAACATGTCTTCCCAAGTCCTCCATCCCACTCCCCCTCACCCCACTCCCTGCCCAGTCCTTTCCCCCCCAGAACCTGATATGAAGCAAGAAGGTAATGTCGGCTATTCATATTATATCCATGGGTATTTATAAAGTATGAGTCCTCAGGTATATGTAAACAGATGTACCTTAACTCTAGAAATACAGATACTCTTAAGTAGAGCTGTACTTACAAGTATATTCAGATAAGTGGTAAGAACAAAACCCTGTGATGGTTACTGAAATGACCTGACTGCAGCTTTGTGGAGCATCAACTTTTACATGTCTAGCATAAAAATCATTTAGGTTTAAGCTGTCCTTGAAAAGACTTTCAAAATATTTTCACGACCATTAAGATTTTCAATAAACTGCAAATTTGCCTTATTTCTGCTCACATTGGCTCTCAATACCATCCCTTCTTTCTGTTTTAGAAGGCTAAGACTAGGTATATGTGACCACAGTAGACTTGGAAGGGACTTAGAATGTGTCGTGGTGCTAATTCCTCATGACTGGTCAGCACAGATTTTCTGGTGTGAGGGAAGTGGAAGTAATAGTACCTGTCATTTGGAATCATGTAAACCAATTGTAGCAAATCATACTCACCAAGTAATCTGGTTTCATCTAATTCTCCTGCTGTCAGGTAGACAGAATGGACAGCCTCTTATTGGATATGTTATAGTGGAAAGTCTTTTTGGGGTCTGTATTGGACTGGCAGTCTGATGGAGTTCATGGACCCCTTCACAGAAAAATGTTTTTAAATACATAAAATAACATGCATAGGATTACAAAGGAAACCAATTATATTAAGATATTGAGAAAACAAGTTCATGGGCCCCAGATGGAGAACTTCTGAATTGGCTAGTCTCAGAAGGCTCTTCCAAACTCTAAATTTTATGATGCTATGACCCAGCCTATGATTCATTCATTCATTATAATTTGTATGTCAGATATTTGTTAAACATCTACTATATTCAAGGTATTGCAAAGTCTTAGGCAATAAATAAGAAGTTATGTAGCTTCTGTGCTCAGGGAGGTAACATCCATAAGATTATAAACATTGCCTAAAGCTACACAAACTCAGAAAACTTCCATAAACTCAATTTCTTCCGTGGAGAGCAAATAAACTAAGCATATTTTAAGAAAATTTCTTGTAGAGGTACTGCTTGATTTCCTTTCGGCCCACTGGTCATACCTTAAGGTATCTTAATAAGTGCTTTTACATATATTATATCTATATATCTATACATATATATATGCACATATTTGTATCTAATGGTAGCCATCTCTAGGATTGGTGAGGGGGGAGGGAAAAATTTACTTGATAACTTTATTATATATTTAGAAAGAATAGCAATTTGTACATAATAGATTTGCAGTTTCATGTGCAGTCATCTTTTTTTGATTATGGAAATGCTTGTGTTATTCCATAGATTAAAAATAGAATTTTAAAAAATGCTTATTTGCCTGTCTGGTTTAAGCATACTTCTAATGCTGAATTTTTCACATAACAGGTTTGGGTTGGCACTATTGGGTCAGGCCCCAAGGGTCGGAATCTCTGTGCCACCTTCCAGCACACAGAGACCTTTGCATTCCAGGATGAAGTTGGAGCACTTCTCTTGTCTGTGTGCCAAACAGTGAGCCAAGGGATTTTGTGCTTCTTGCCATCTTACAAGGTAAGGAAATACTCATTTGTGCTTTTGACTTTTCAAAATCATATGAAATTCTCATCTTAGCTTTCTTGGGACCAGAAGCAATGAAAGTAACCCAAAATCTTTGCCAAATACACAATTTTATTGTCTGTTTTGGGAGTAGAAGGATGGGGGTGGGAAGGAGAGGAGAAAAGAGGATTCGTAATCATGAAATGATGTCTGATTAAACACGTCAGATTTCATTTGCCTTGAGAGGTTCTACTCAGACAAGAGCACAGGCTTACAGGCAGCAGCTTTTCAGCATCTGTCTAAATAGTTTCACACTCAAAAGGAAAAAGAACAAAGTTATACTTTTGAATGGCCTAATAATTTGACTCTAATATAGTGGTTGGGGCAGCTAGGGGGTGCAGTGGATAGAGTGCTGGTCCTAGACTCAGGAAGACTCATCTTCCTAAGTTCAAATATGGCCTTAGACACTTATTAGCTGTGGGGCCAGGGCATGTCACTTTTGGGGGGGGGGGGCAGTTGGAGTTAAGTCACTTGCCCAGGGTTACACAGCTAGTAAGTGTCAAGTGTTTGGTCTGAGGTCGGATTTGAACTCAGGTCCTCCTGACTTCAGGGCTGGTGCTCTATCCACTGCGCCACCTAGCTGCCCCTCTGGGCAAGTCACTTAACCTAGTTTGCCTCAGTTTCCTCATCACTCTAGTACCTTTGCCAAGAAAACCCCAAATGGAGTCATGAAGAGTTGACACTGCTGAACAACACCAATAATACCACAGTGGTTATTAATTGGTTTTGTATTAACTCCTTTTGCAGTCTGATAAAACCTGTGAACCTGTCCTCAGAATAATATTTTTAAATGCACAAAATAAAATACATAGAATTACAAAGGAAACCAATTTTATTGTAATATAGTTATCAAACTATCAAACTATATATTATAACTATTGTAATATAGTTATCAAAATAATTTCACAAACTGCAGAGTAAGCACCCCTCTAGGCTTTGCCATATTGTATTTGGTTGTATATCAAAAGGGTCAGTTTCTTACTTCCTGAAAAAAGGCTGGATTATACACTATGTCATTTTTTTTCTGGTAGTTTTTAGGCTTACTGTGATGTTTGGCAGTGTTTACTCAAATAAACATTTTGTAATGTCCTCTCCTTCTATTTAAGGTATTAACAACATAGATAGCCCCCCTCCTAAGAGAAGCAATATTGGTAGCGTTGCTCTCCATGCAGAAAGTGCTGTCTGTTTTAACCCCAACTATTTGGAATCCCTAGCTCCATTCCAGTTTCAAATCAAATGCCACCTCCAAGAGGAAGTCTTTTCTGTTCCCTAGTTGTTAGTGCCATCCTCACTTTTCTGAAAATACTCTGTATTTACTTTGTAATTACTTCCATTTGTACATGTTGTTTCCATCCAGTAGACTGTAAGCTTCTTGAGAAGCACCTGACACAATGCCTGACGTAGGAAACATTTAATACATGCTTGTTGAATCGAATTGAATTATATTTTAGTTGTGTTTCAAGCCTGGTTCTAATGCAGGCAGATATAATTATTTTTGTATAATAAGTTATACTTGTAAGAATAAGAACATAAATGATATTTTATTTCAGTAGAGATGTTTGACTTGGGATCTCTTTACAGACTTTCTATAAATTTTATGGACAAGAACCACATTCAATCAATTCTAGATGTAGATAAGGGTAGGACTAGGGTTCTGAACCTATGATTTTATTGGTATAGGGGATTCTGAGTCGAGGAAACTCTAACAATGCAGGCCAACACCTTCTCTGCCATTTATGTCTAAGCACACTGAATATAAAATAAACATAAGCATCTAAGAACCATCTTTTAAGAAAAGTTTTTATTAAATTTTTTTGTTTTTTGCATCACCATGGTTTCCCCCAGCATCCTTCCCCCTTCCACAGTGCCATCCTATATAGGATGGCTCTCTATATAGGATCCTTTGTATATTATAAATAGTATTTTTAAAGACAAAAAAGAAAAAGAAGAGAAAAAAATCAGCATAACTGATCAGTACATAGAAAAATGTAAATATGCACGCTTTACAATCTGGGTAAAGGAGTCAGATGTCTTCTCATATTTCTTCTTTCAAGCCATGCTTATTTCCAGGACTACTACTAACAGAAGTTAGGATTTTTTCCACAGTGAAGTATCTAAGCTAAGCGTGTTTGTTCAAAAGACTAGTAATTAAGGCTAGATTCAAAGTCATAGGGTAATTTTTTTCCTTTTATCAAAGGAAGTAATTGGCCTTACATAAAATCAGTGGAACTTTTAAAGTTTAAAATATGGAAACTTCCTTCCCCAAGGAAGTTATTTGCAGTAGCATTGGAACTCAGATTATCCCAAAGCAATCTGAAAGAAAACAAAAAACAAAAAAAAACCCAAAACCACAAGCAGGTTGGAAAAAACCTTTTACTAAAACCACATTCCAACCAAGATCAGAAGCACGGAGTCGCGAAGTGAGGAAATAATCCTGATAGTGTAGACAGCATGAGCAAATTGGAAACCATTTGCCAAACCCCTATAGATATGGTACCAAATAGCAGTTCTTTATGTGCATGGCAGCAACCTAATTGAACATGTTTCTCAGCACACATGGAGCTGTGCCAGCTCTAATGTAAACCTACTTCACAAGACTGTAATTACTGACGAAAAAACCCACAGTATGAAAAACAGCCAGAGCATGGAAGAACTTCAGCACATCATCTAAGACCAATTTTCTTGTTTAAGATTTCTCTCATTATAATGTATTCAGCAATAAAAAAAGTGTTCTATAGAGACCCAGGTGGAATTCAATACTAATACAGAAGGAAAGTAGCTATTTAGGCCAAATAGAGGAAGAGAATGCCACCTTGGGAGCCCAGTCTCCTGGGATTTTATGTTTCTGACAGCACTATTTACTGCAGTTACTGAAATTGGCCATTAGGTGACTACATAGACCATAAAATGTAGGCTTGCCTAACTAAACAAGTTGTCTAGCTTAGTGAATGAATTGAAATATACTCCTTTTAGATGAGCACATCCCACCCCTCACATGAATAAGATAAGTAAACAGAAAATGAAACTCTCAAATAAAGTTTGTTATCATTTAGTATTGAGTTTGAGATTTTAATTTATGTTCAGCTCCTCAATGCTGAGCAGGCTGCATGCCACGTAAATACACTTTAAGAAGGAGCGTTGGTATTTTCGTTCCAGATTTTAAATGCTCAATGGATTTGAGCTAATTATGGTTGGCAGTACATGTAATCAAATAACACTAACCTTTAAATCATAAAGCTTCATCTTTTGACCCACTATTATTTCACAGGATGATGAAACTAGTTAGCTTAATAGCTTCAAAAAGCTTTTTTGCTTCATCTTTTGACCCACTATTATTTCACAGGATGATGAAACTAGTTAGCTTAATAGCTTCAAAAAGCTTTTTTGTTTCAGGGAGAAGGGACATGAATCTAAGTCTGAACCTTTTGTTGTTGTTCACTCATTCAGTTGTGTCTAAGTCTGGTTTTCTTGGCAAAGATAGTGGAGTGGTTTGTCTCATTTCCTTTTCCAGTGTGTCCCCATTTTACAGTTGAGGAATGGAGGCAGGTAGGGGTTAAGTGACTTGCCCAGAATCATACAGATACTAAGTGTCTGAGATCATATTTGGATTTAGGTCTTCCTGACTCTAGGCCCAGTATTCTACCACCTAGCTGCCAAGTCTGAATCTTAGATGTAAGTAATTGATTTAAATTGTTCTACTTCTCCCATTGTTTCTGTGCTTCTACTGCTACTAGGTTTGTTGAGGGGATTATTCTTAGTGAAGAACACATTATTACAGTTTACTAATAAAAATATTGATGAGTTAGTTTTAATTTAAATGTGTCCCTTTTTATTTTAGTAATAGAAGGTGACTGACACCATACTTCTCTTGGCAGATTGTCTTTTTTTCCTCTAGAATATATTGATTCTAGAGATTATATTGAGAAACAAATTTATGTTCTTGTCACTGCATAGGTAAATCACTTCACCTTTTTGGCCTCAGTTCCCTCCTCTGTGAAACAAGAAGGTTGCGCTAGATAGATGGTCTCTGTAGTCCCTCCCAGCTATAAATCTATGTGATTTTCCAAGTCACAGATAGCTTGTAATCCGTGTTAGGAGAAGCAATTCCCATACCAGGAATGCCCTACACTGATAAAACTAAAGATCATTTGGTTCTTTACCTATGGAAATTCTCATTCTGTTTCTCATATTTGAAAATTTTAATTATGTTTTATTTGGATATCTTATGAATTATATTTGTATAGGAAAATTTTGTTTTCTTGCTATGTATGTATCTACATATTTTCATGTATTTATTGAGTGGGGGTAAATACTCAGTCCATTTGTTAATTGCCATGAATGAATGAAAAGGAAAGCATTTATTGAACACTTACTATGTGCCAGGAACTATGCTAAACACTAAGGTTACAGATGCAAAAGTGAAATAGTCTCTTCCCTTCTATTAGTGGGGAGACCACCCTATAGGAGGGTACAGCTTCAGGCCAAATGACAACATGAAATTCTATCCCTGTAGACTGTAAGAAACTCTCTACCCATTTGCTGCAAGACACACTGGCTATCATCTTCTTGTTTGACCTGAATCTGCAACTAAGGAACTCTGCTATAGTGATTCTACTCAGTGGCCATAGATTTAGTGGAGATCATCAGATGCTTAATTTCTTTAAAAAAATTGTATCTTTTTAGTTTCATATTACCTCTATTAAAATATATATTTTGATTGATGTCTTTTGATTTTATATTATTTACATTTCCTAATATATCGCTTCCCTCTCTCAGAGAGCATCCCCCCCCCCTTTTTTTTGGCAGTTGGGGTTAAGTGACTTGCCCAGGGTCACACAGCTAGTAAGTGTCAAGTGTTTGGTCTGAGGCTGGATTTGAACTCAGGTCCTCCTGACTTCAGGCCCAGTGCTCTATCTACTGTGCCACCTAGCTGCCCCTTGAGAGCGTCCCTTTTA